ATGTGAGTGAAGGCCCTGTTTAAACATTGATCTTCCACTAGCACCTCTGTGCTTATCCACTAATGCTAGTCTCATTAACTTTTAGCTTGCCGTTTTCACTTATAAAAAGTCAAATAGCTGATTCAGTCCCATTAGCACTACATTAGGGCAGGGGTCTGCAACTTTTAAGACATAAAGAGCCACTTGGACCCGTTTCCGAAGGAAAAAAAAACCTGGGAGCCGCAAAACCATTGCGATATTTAAAACAAATATAATACTGCATATATTGTTTCTTACCTTAATGCTATATACCGGATCGTGCAGTTAGCTGTCAATCTGAAGAAAAGACTTTTTTACTTAACAATGTAAAATATATTTTTGCAAATTAATAGCTAATTAAAATATTTAATTTACCTGGTTAATGGGATTTTTGCTCCTGAACCTCAGTACACAGTGTCAGCACATTAGGGCTGTAAGACGTTACCTTCATTTTCACACAGGTTTGCAAGTTGTCGGAGCCGCGGTAAAGCTTCAAAAGAGCCGCATGCGGCTCTGGAGCCGTAGGTTGCCGATACCTGCGTTAGGGGTTATATTTGGGTTGCTAGCCTCAGAGTATTAGGTCTTAAAATTCTTAGAACCTGCTCACATGTAAAATGTTCTTTTTGTTCATATTTTTTAGATTTTAAGATTATGAACTTAAGCAGTTATTCAGAAAATCTTAAAACAGGCAATTTATTTTGCCTTTTAACTTTTCTTTTCACCTTGGCCAGTGTGGCTCAGTTGATTGGACGTCATCCTGTGCACCAAAAAGTTGTTGGTCAATTCTAGGTCAAGGCACATGAGTGGGTTGCTGTTGGATCCCCAGTGGGAAGACTACAGGAGGCAGCCAATTGATTTTTCTTACATCGGATGGTTCTCTCTCTCCCTCTATCTTCTTCTCTCTAAAAATCAAAAAAAAAAAAAAAAAAAAAATTTTTTTTTTAACCTTAAAATATTGACATAAGTTTTGGGTTTTTTTTTGTTTTTTTTTTAAGAAAATACGATTTTGCTTAATGTTTTGAAAATTATTATGGATTTCGAATCCAGCCAAATTTAATGCATATTATTCATATTAATAAATTGCTTGGGTTTGAATAAAAGTAGTAGATCAAATTTTTAAAGAAGAGTATTTAGGATAATGTAATTTTGTTTCAGCTGCTCTCAACGTTTTTTTCCTGTTTAAGAAAATTCCTGAGATTCTTTCCTGGAATATAGATATTTTCATAAAGAATCAACTGAAATGGGAAAATTATGTAATAAAGTCATAAATACGACATAAAGTTATAAATATGACATAAAGTCATAAATTTAGTATCAAAAAGATATTTTCTGTCCTTACTTGATTTTAATTTCTCTTAAGCTTATCCTTTGAATAAAGAAAGTGGATTTTATTTGTTGACATTTTCTGACTCCTTATTTTTGCTTGAATTATATGTTTGATTTCTGTTGACCATTTTGTCTTAAAAACTCCTCTCAATTACTTTTGCGTTACTATGCTATTTCTTGGTTTATCCTTTTACCTTTTTTTTTCTTCTTTTAAAAAAAATACATTCTATTGATTTTTTACAGAGAGGAAGAGAGAAGGATAGAGAGTTAGAAACATCAATGAGAGAGAATCATCGATCAGCTGCCTCTTGCACATCCCCTACTGGGGATGTGCCCATAACCAAGGTACATGCCCTGGGCCGGAATCAAACCTGCGACCTTTCAGTCCATAGGCCGACGACGACACTGTATCCACTGAGCTAAACCGGTTTCAGCTCCTTTTACCTTTCTTTTGAGCTCATTAGAGAGCTCTAAATAACTCCTAGATAGTTCTATTTTCCTCATGCATTAACATATTCTCCAATGTATGTGCAGAGTATTCCCTTTCTGTCATTGCAGTATCTTTATTTAACTTCTTTGTCCTTTTAGTTATATGCTTTTCAAAGCTGGAATAAATCTTCTTGGGTCTCTTTCACTCCCTTGCCATTTGTTTTCTTTTTTTTTTTTAATTTTTTAATTTTTAAAAAATTTTTTTTATTTTGAAGCAATATTTAACATTTGTTTTCTTTTAAAATGAATGCGTACCAAAAAAAATCAATTCTAGGAAAGCAATTTTAACAGTATTTCAAGCCAGCCTGAAGGAAACACAAATGATCTGAAACAAAACAAAAAATCAAATAAAGATAAGTCATTTGAATAACATAAAAGTTTTGAAGGAAATTCTGTCAGGAAGGGAAACAAGCTAATGGGGTTCAGAGCAGTTCTTACGATAGTAGGATTCTCTTGTTTGACAAAGATTAGTTACTCTTTACCTATCTGCCCTCAAAAAGAGTTATAGCGATTCCTTTCACCCAAACACCATGAAAATTAAATGTGGGGAGGATGACTCACTTCCTTGACGACAGTTTTGCTTCCTCAAGTGGCCCTGTCTTCTTGCTATAGCTTGGAAATGAGAAACTCAGGTAAAGGTATAAGCTACATCTGTAGACTGAAATGAAGCTACCTACTGGCCTGTGCAAATATGAACAGTATTTCTAAACTGCTTTATTATTACACTATGATCAGGCAAAAAAAAAAAATTCACCCAACATAGATCTTTTTTATCTTCTTATTTGAGTGTGTCCTATTATATTAGATATTTATGGTACTACCACAAATGCATCTGACAGAGCTAATTTTGTGCATTCAACAAGTTGCTAGTACCTTCTTTCACCTGGGCCATTTCCATTATTTTTCTTAACCTCCTATTAAACATTTTGCTTCTCCTCTTACTCCCTTCCAAAATATTCTCCATATAACTGCTAACATGATTTTTTAAAAATAAATTGGTATGTTATTTCTCTACCTAATCTTCTTCAGTGGTTTTTCACTACACTGATGATAAAACATTTGAACATGGCTTACAAGGCCCTTGTAATGTAGCCTGCCTCTCTACTTTCATCTTGTACCCTCTCTCCTCTTTGGGGCAGTTAGTCAGTTGTAATGGCCTTCTTAAAATTTCTACCTTTGTTTTTTAACCTCAGGGACCTCACATATGCCACTTCTTTCCCCCATTTTCTACTAGACTAACTCCCCTTCCTTTGATTTTCATATTATAATTTACTTTCTGAGGCCTTTCCTGAGCTTTGTATCTTAAAGATTTACACACCCACATCCACTCCTTACACTGCCCCACACACTCTCATACCATTATTTTTCTTCATACATTTACATTGTATTAGTATATTGCTTGAGTTTTTGTTTAATATCATTCCTACGCAACTGTAGAGTTCTATGAGGTCAAGGATCACAATCTGTTTGTTTCACTATTGTATACCAAACTTCTAGAACAATTCCTATAGAGTTGTGGGCACTATTGAATGAACAATTAATACTTGGGATTGGGGATATAAAATAATATTAGTCTAGCTTATCATTTTCTACCAATTAAGAATTTTTTTTTACCCTTAGCTTTGTTTAATAAAACTTTGTTTTTACAACAGTGTTTTAAATGTCTTTAATTAATTGAATGAGAATTTTGAGTAGCTTCTAAAATTAGCCATATTTTTTGCCCTGGTCAGATGGCTCAGTTGGTAGGAGCATCGTCCCATACACCAAAATGTTGTGGGTTTGATTCCCTGTCAGGGTGCATAACTAGGTTGTGGGTCCAATCCTATGGACACATACAGGAGATAACTAATCAATATTTCTCCCTTACATTGATGTCTTTCTCTTTCTCTCTCTTTCTTTGTCTCTAAAAATCAATAAATATATCCTTGGGTGAGGATAAAAAAATAAAATGAGGTATATTTTTTAATGAGTTAAGACCTTATCTGATGGATATATTCCTCTTTCTAAGCCATCTAAATTAAATTCTGTTCTTTGACATGTGAAAATTTTTTTAAATTTATATTACAAAAGTAATTTGCTTTTTTACAGAAAATACAAATAATATAAAAGTATAGCTCTTTTCCTCTTGTTTTCCTAATCTTATTTCCCAAAGATAACTGTTATCAATTTGGTGTACAATGCATCAGATAAAAAGTAGGAAGATGTTGGTAGACAAATAGGTAACTAACTTGATACACTTAAGTAGTTATCATCTCTCTGCTTAGATTTTCTCATTTTTTGTATTTCTGTAGGATAGGTTTCTAAAATATAGGCGATTGAAGAGTGTTCATATTTTGAATTTTGGTACTTTTAAATTACCTCCCCAAGGATTGTAGAAATTAATTTTTAAATAACAGATGTTATTAGCAAAACAATGTGATGTTTATTATAGACAGTTTTACAAATACAGAAAAGCACACACACACAAAATCACTTATTCCATCATGTGGTGGTATCCTTCTAGTCTTTTTCTGTGCACATAAAAATATTATTTTTCCAAGATTGGAATTATACTATACAAGCTGCTTTGCAATTTGCTATTTTTAAGTAGCATTATGTTTTTATTTTCCCATGTTATATTAAAACTTATTTTACTATCTAGTTATACCACAATTAATTTAACAAACTCTACATTTTGAACATCTAGACTGTTTCTAATGCTCACTTTTACAAATAGCACTGGTGTGTATATCTTTATATATATGTTTTTTCAATATACATTTTTAGAAGTGGATTTGTTGGGTCAGAGTTTGAAATTTTAATGCTTTTCATACATTTTGCCAGATTGTTCTTCAGAAAAAAATCCAAGTTACATCTTAGCAATTTCACAGTGCTCATTTTCCTGCTCTCTGATAGGTTAAAAAACAAAAATAAAACCAAAACAAACTAAGAAATCCAATTTTTAAAGTAATAAAAAAATGGGAGGTATAGCTATGGTGTAGAATAGAAAATGACTGTTATGACATAGCATTTAAGTACTGCATAAGTTGTATTCTTACTCTTTACATTATCCAGTTAATAAGTGTCCTTTATTCTCTGTTATATTTAGTTTTCTTTGATTCTTTCTATTTATGTCACTATTCTTTGGTTTATCATTTTATTCTTTTTCCCTATACCTTTTCATGTAGAGACCAAATGAGAGGGTTGACCTTGTTTCTGAAAAACCAAGAGAAGAGCCGGTACTAAAAGAGGAAACCTTGGTGAGTACTTTTTTGAATACTGTCTAGTCAAATATGGCATAAGGTGAAAATAAAATTATTAGATTATAACACATTTAACACATTACAGTCCATACTTCTTTATTTTAGAAGTTAAACTGAAATAAATCTTAGAACTAGTTTAAAAGAAAGATATTTTCAGTTAATTATTTGCCTTTTCAAAATTTTAATCACTTTTTAATAGATCATGTGAATTCTCAAGATACCTTATAATGTGGTAATAGAAATCACCAATCCTATTTTTAATATTTGGAGTTAGGCTTATTTTTTTTTCCCTTTTGCTAGTTATGAATAGTAGGTATCGATAAAAGTATAATTGAAGATAGTTACATGGAGAGCATGTTAAATGCACTTTGTATGTAGTTTCTTCTTTAAAATTTCTCTGCTGATAAAGTTTTATGACCTTTTCCTATAGGTTCAACCAATATTATCTTCTGTTCCAACAACAGAAGTGTCCACTGGCGTTAAGTTCCAGGTTGGCGATCTTGTTTGGTCAAAGGTGGGAACCTATCCTTGGTGGCCTTGTATGGTTTCAAGCGATCCCCAGCTTGAGGTTCATACCAAAATAAACACAAGAGGTAAGAAAAGGTATAAATAGATATTAAGTAAAATGTTAGAAAAAAGTGAATCTTAATATGGTATTTGAATGTGAGAATACACAAATGAGATATGATCTGACATCAAAATATGCATATTTATATCAGTTTTTAACCAGTGAAATACTTATGGATATTTTAACTGACAGAGCCTCTATAATTGATATAGTCCTTGTTTTCTCTTAAAAGGACTATATCAGTTACAGAAGCTCTACTTTAGGAATCTATAATAATAAAAGCGTAATATGCTAATTAGACCAGACAGCTAAATGACCTTCCTGACGTCATTCTGGACAAAGCTGCCACTGTGGGGCTGAGGTAGAGGCAGTTAGGGGTGATCAGGCAGGCAGGCGAGCAGTTAGGGGCGATTAGGCAGGCAGGCAGAGTGGTTGGGGTGATCAGACAGGCAGGCAGAGACAGGGCAATGGGGCAGGCAGGCAAGTGGTTAGAAGCCAGTGGTCCCAGGTTGCTAGAGCGTGCAGGCTGGTCTGAGGGACCCCTCCCCCCCATTCATGAATTTTGTGCACCAGGTCTCTAGTATTAAATATGAAGAAATAAATCTTTTTTAGTCATTAATAATTTTTAATAAATATATGTATTGAAATCTAATGTGTTCAGGAAATAGAATAACAATGCTTGTATAACATAGGAACGGATTTTTTATTATTTTTTAATACATTTTTATTGTTCATATTATTACAAATGTTCCTATCCCCCCTAGTCCCCCCATTGCTCTCCTCCACCAGGTTCCCACCCCACCCTCTGCCCTTTCCCCACCCCCCCATTGTCCTCATCCATAGGTGCACAGTTTATGTTCAGTCTCTTCCCACATCCCCCTCTTCCCTTTTCCCCAAGAATCATCAGTTCACTCCCCTTCCATACCTCTGATTTTATTATATTCAACAGTTAATATTGTTCATCAGATTTTTTTTTAATTTTCTTGGTTTTTAGATTCACTCGTTGATAGTTATGTATTTGTTGTTCATAATTTTTATCTTGATTTACTTTCTCTCCCAAAAGAACCCCCTTCAGCAGTTCATATAATTCTGGTTTGGTGGTGATGAACTCCTTTAGCTTTTTTTTTTTTATTAGTGAAGCTCTTTATCTGGCCTTCGATTCTGAGTGATAGCTTTGTTGGGTAGATTATCTTTGGCTGTAGGTTCTTACTATTCATCACCTTGAATATTTCTTGCCATTCCCATCTGGCCTGCATGGTTTCTGTTGAGAAGTAAGCTGACAATCGTATAGGTGCTCCTTTATAGGTAACTACCTGCTTTGCTCTTGCTGCTTTTAATATTCTCTCTCTGTCTTTTGCTCTTGGAATTTTAATTATGATGTGTCTTGGTGTGGTCCTCTTTGGATTCCTTTTGTTTGGAGTTCTGTGCGCTTCCTGGACTTGTAAGTAATTCTTTCACCAGGTGGGGGAAGTTTTCTGTCACTATTTCTTTCAGTATGTTTTCGATATCTTGCTCTCTCTCATCTTCTGGGACCCCTATAATTCTGATGTTGGTTCGCTTGAAGTTGTCTCAGAGGTTTCTTACATTATCTTCAATTTTCTGTATTCTCTTGCCTTCTTGCTTCTGCGGAGGAGTGTCTTCTGGCTCTTTATGTTCCAAATCTTTGACTTGATTCTTGCGATCTTCCATTCTGTTTTTAGGACTCTGTATAATATTTTTTATTTCAGACAATGTATTTTTTATTTATTGTTGATCCCTTATCATTTCTTGTTGATTTCTTATTAATTCTAGTTGATCCCTTTCCATATCCTCATAGGTCTTATCGACCTTTTCTAGGAAATTCTTGAAAAACCTTATAAGCATAGATTTGAACTCTATATCCAGTCACTTTTTGTCCTCCATTTCTTTCTTTGTGATCTATTCTGATGTCTGGGCATTTTCACAGCTTCCCTGATGGGGCGGGTTTCAGGGTGGAGCCTACAGCCTTGGCTTCCATCAGCCCCGCCCTATGTGGCTTCTGAGTCTCAGGGTCCTCCAGTACTCGCTGCAAGCACCTCTGAGAGAAAGGTGCTCTCGATTTTCGCCTGCTACCAAACAGTCTAGGCTCTCCCCCAATGAGCCCGGAACTGGTGTTCAGTTCAGTTGGAAGTGGAGTTGGAGGTGGGGTTCAGAGCAGTCCGGAGCTTTTGTCTCCTTCCCACCAGGGCAATCCCGTGGCACAGCCAATCATCTGTCCTCTGCGTGCAATGTGCGTGCCTACGGGACCTCCTTTCGCCGCTCCCCCGGGGTTCCACCTTACAGCCCAGCTCCCTATGGATGAGCCTGGGTCCCCGGGGTCTGGCCTAGAATTGGGGTTTAGAGCAGTCGGAACTGGGGCCCAGCACAGTCTGGAGTTTTATCTCCTTTCTGCTAGGGAACGCCAGCCAGGCCCTCAGCCGCCCCGCCCTTCCTCTCTGGCTCTGTCCTCTCTGCGCGCGCCGCGTGTCTCCGTACCTTAGGCTTTTCCAGCTCCTCCGCTCTTCCTTCTGGTTTTCTCCTTGCTTCTCATTGTAGAATTTCCAGTCATTCGACTTTCCTGTAGTTCTGGATAATGTCCATTTTATATTTTAGTTGTATTTTATTGAAATTGTTGTGTGCGGCTGTGGCTAGGTGTTTACCTGTGCAGCCAACTTGGATTCTCCTCCAAAGAAAGAAATTCTTATAATTTCTTTCACACAAGGAATATTTGTTTTATAATTTCTTTCACACTTTTTTTTTTAAAAGACCTTAATTTGACCTCTCATATGAATTCTAAAAGAAAGCAGATGGATAACTAATAAGATGTCTTACATGAGTTTTAATAGGCATTTTTAGCCGGATAAGTGCTTTTCATCCTGATAAATTTTGCAGGATTATTTTTCTTCATTCCATTTTTGAATCTACATTTACTGAGCTATTCTTATAAATTCAGTATAACATAGAAGTATAGGTTGAATTTAACTATGTAGCATATAATCCTACCTTAGGAATCTATAATAATAAAAGTGTAATATGCTAATTAGGCCAGATGACCTTCTGGAGGAAGCTGTGGCTGCCGGGGCCAAGGCAGGGGCTGAGTCCCTTGCACGGATTTTCTGCAGGGGGCCTCTAGTATTAAATATTAAGAAAATATGTGTTCTAACTTTTCTTGACTCCTGCTTCTGGATTTAACCAAAACATGTAGATTAGGTTACTGGTAGCATTTGGAATAGACTTGCTTAGTAGCCAGAGCCCTGTTCACTGTTCTGAGGAGAAAAAATGTCTGAAACTTAAGTCTGGCAAGTCAGATTAGTGACTGGAGCAGTCATATCTATAACTCTTGTGCTGCACATCCAGGAATCTGACCTGATAAGAAAGGCAGTCATCTTGTCATTATAATCTGCCTATTAAAGGTTGGGATAACTGAAAGCATCAGTAGGGCAGGAGCAAAAAAAAAAATTGTTGAACATCTGCTTCTGTGTAAGGCACTGTGTTACACAGTTCTCTTGTATATTTTCTTATGCAGCCCACTTAGCAGCAGCATTATAAAGTACAAAGCATTGCTGTTCTTATGTTTCAGATAAGTAAATAGAGTCTCAAATCTCATTGTATACCCTCTACTCTAGTACCATCATTTATATAAAAAGGGTATTGGACTAGTAATCTCTACAGTTTTAAAAACCTATAACTGACTCTATGAGGGAGATTAAAGGAGCAATTATTTTCCAAGAGGGCCAAGCCTTCTTAAATAAAACTGCCTGTCTAAATATTTGCCTCCAGAGGATGCTAAGATATTATATGATGTGAGATTTGTGATTCTTCAGTTCTCTCCCCTTAGAAAAGCATCCTTTTGAGATTATATAAAGACCTTCACATTTAATTACTGTATGAGAACCTGCTAATTTCACCTTTTTATAGGATGCAAATAAAAGCTCAATTTATGCTTCATCTGTATTTCAAAGGATATATTTAAATTTAGTTTTATAAATTAATCTAGTCTGGTTTGGTACCCCCTGAGCAGTCTCCTGTTGAAATAAAAGATTTTGTTTGTATTATTTGTGACAACCAGAAATCTCAGAAATTTAGGTTTTAAAAAATATCTGTTCTGATTATATTTCAAAATTTTTCTTTTTCTTCAGTAGTTTTAAAAATAATAAGCTTTCTTGAGAAATGATTTATATACTATAAGATTCCCCCTTTTAAAGTGTGCAATTCAATGATTTGAGTACAATTATAGAGTTGTGTGGCCACTACAACTATTTAATTTTAGAACATTTTAATCAACCAAAAAGAAATACAGTATCCCTAAATAGTTACTGCCGATTCCTTCCCTTGTCCCCTAAGCAGCCACTAATTACTTTCTACTGCTACAGATTTGCCTTTTTTGGACATTTCAGGTAAATGGAATCATACACTATTTGACCTTTTGTGTCTGGGTTCTTTCACTTAGCATAATGTTTTAGAGGCTTATCTATATTGTGATGTGTTTTAGAACTTCATTCCTTTTTATTGCCAAACTAGAGGCCCTGTGCATGAAATTCATGCCCTGGGGATATAGGGGGTCCCTCAGCCCATCCTGCACTCTCTTGCAATCCTGGACCCCTCAGGGAATGTAGTTGGACATCACTCTCACAATCCAGGACTGCTATCTCCTAACCAGGATGCCTGTCTGCATGATCACTCCTAATGACGTCCAGAAGATCATTTGGCTGTCTGGTTTAATTAGCATATTATGCTTTTATTATTATAGATAACATTCTATTGTATAGCTGTGCTGTACAGTTTTGTTTTTTTTAATATACTTTATTGATTTTTCACAGAGAGGAAGAGAGAGGGATAGAGAGTTAGAAACATCGATGAGAGAGAATCATCGATCAGCTGCCTCTTGCACACCCCCTACTGGAGATGTGCCCGCAACCAAGGTACATGCCCTTGCCCGGAATTGAACCCGGGACCTTTCAGTCCGCAGGCTGACGCTCTATCCACTGAGCCAAACCGGTCCGGCGTGTGATGTACAGTTTTAAATGAAGTAGTTTTCTGACAGTTTTTGTGAAAATCAAAAAGAACAGCATAAAATTTAATTTTGTTACATAGCACACATGATGCCTGTGAAGCATTTTGTGTTGCTTATTATCTAAACTACTTTAAAATTTGCCTTGATTTTATATAATAATCATTGGTTTCCATATTATTATTATTAAATTCTTAGCATTGAAAGTGTATTCTCAAAGGTTTTCACCCTTAAAATTCTTTGCAAGAGCATGTTGAAAGATGTTTGGCCCTAGCTGGTTTGGCTCAGTGGGTAGAGTGTCGGCCGGCAGACTGAAGAGTCCCAGGTTCGATTCTGGTCAAGAGTACATGCCCAGGTTGTGGACTCAATCCCCAGTGGGGGGCATGCAGTAGTGGGCTGATCAGTGATTCCCTCTCGTCATTATCTCTCTCATCTATCTCTCCTTTTCCCTTCCTCTCTGAAATCAATAAAACTATATTTTAATAATAATAAAAGTTAATTTTAAAATATCTTTGGATCACATGTCTATTTTAAGTTGTATTTCATTGTTCAGGTCTCATTTTAAATTTAAAAGTTGAAAATGAAATGCTTTTTCTGTTTATAACAATACAAAAATGTATATGGTCAGAAGTGAGAGGTGTCCATAGTTTGTCCTTCAGATATATAAGTACTTTTAAGAGTTTGAAAGTAATTCTTTTTCCTCTATGCATAGTGTAAGTTTAACTAATAGGTATTAAAATACATTTTTATTGAGTTTTAAATGGCATCACATTATACCCATTATAACTTTTGATCATAACATATATATATTTTAAGTTTAAAATTGGGTGGTTTTACCTTTATATTATTTTTCTTATATAAAAACATTTCCTCAACATTTTTCTATTGGAAATTTAGTCCATTATTCAGAAAGAGATGTGCTGTCAAAACCGGTTTAGCTCAGTTGATAGAGCGCTGGCCTGCGGACTGAGAGGTCCCAGGTTCGATTCCCGTCAAGGGCATGTACATTGGATGCAGTCACATCCCCTGTAAGGGGTGTTCAGGAGGCAGCTGGTCGATATTCCTCTCTCATTGATGTTTCTAGCTCTCTATCCTTCTCCCTTCCTCTCTGTAAAAAATCAATAAAATATATATTTTTTTAAAAAAGAAAGAAAGAAAGAGATGTGCTTATTTCTTAGTCTTTCAGGTCTTTCTGTTTTACATTTTTATTTTATGATTTTCTAGCCACCAGGAAGAAAAGTGCTAACAAAGAGGCATATAGTTTCATCCATAGTAAATTATTTAATTAGTGAAAAAGTTGAAAATAAAGAGTAAAATTAGTTTGGGTTATATATTAGTTTTAGTTTTTAACTATCAAGTCATTTGGGGTTGTCTGTTTGCTTCTGAATAAATAACTGAATCTTGGAAACAGATTATGTCCTGTGATCTTTCATCCCTGCTACTCATCACCTTATCCTCCAAACTCATCTACTAGTTTAGGTTATATTTCTGTTTTTGTCCCTCAATACCTTTGGACTTTTGATAAACCTTCTTTGATTAATTATAATAGAATCTGTGCGTCACGCTTCTTTCCCAAATTAAAAGATATAGAAATCTGAATTGTGTGTATGCTTTCTCTTAGAGGTTATTTTTCATATGAAATTTTTATTTGGTTTCAAAATTCCTTATATAATCTTCTGCTTATTGTCTAATAAAATTAAAATTTTTCAAATCTAAGATGTAATAGATTTCAGATAACTTAGTTTAATTTAGGCATAATACCTATATTTTTCTAGTCAGGATCTGCTTGTTGTCTTTCTCTCTATCTGAAATTCTTGAATTCCCCAAAAAGATCAGAACCTGTTTCTCAGTTGACCTGAGACTTTCTCTAGAATAGTGTTTTTCAACTATGTTTGGTAAAGGACTAGTTTTTGTTGTTGTTGTTTTTCATTTCTAGTCTACCATGGACCAATATTTCTAGCAAATACAATAAAATCAACTATTAGAGAAATGACAGGCCTCCCCCTCCACAAAATACAGATTATAAGATCCCTAATTATGTGCCACAGCAATGTCAAATTATCATAGGTTCTAAATGCCCACTTTTAACTTTCGTGCCTTTTTTGTCACAGACTGGCTTATTCTAGGAACTACACTTTTGGAGTAGCACTACTCTGTAGCAACTATTCTCAAATGTTTTGGTCCCAGAGGCCCTTTAATTCTTAAAATTTGAGGGCTCCAAGAAGTTTTGTTTTTATAACTGCCAGTATATGGCTGTGAAGAATATGATACTAGTTTGGTGTCACTCGTTGCCTCTATTTGTGCTAAGATGCCAGCACTTTTATCTGCCATTGCTTTTGCAATATAGATGCAAATGTCAGAATAGTAAAAAGATAAGTAACATCTTATGAAGATAATCTGACTTCACAGGATCCCTGGAAGAGTCTCAGTAACCTCTACTATTTTATCCCCAGGTCTGTATACCACACTGCTAGAAAAGCAATTTGACCAGCACTTAGCTTTAGAAATCCAGGAAAAGATGTCATACATTTTTTGGAAGAAAATTTATTTATTTAACTCAGATTTGTTTGTAAAAAGTTTTGAGGCAAATAAAAATAAATTGTGCAACCAACATAAATCTGATAATTAGTAGAATTTATGATTTTATTTCTTTTAAACCTTGATATACTAATTTAAATCATTTGGGGTGAGTATACTAATTTAAATAATTTGGGGTGAGTTTTATAATAACTATTGGTCACTATTGGATTACATCTTTGGGCAACCCAAAACTACAACTTTGTGTGTGTGTGTGTGTGTGTGTGTGTGTGTGTGTGTGTGTATGTGGACTTTTGTCATTTCTTATTTGATGATCTAAGGGAAGTCTAGTTACACGCTTTAAAAAATTTTGTGACACATGGGTTGAAAATCACTGACCTAGGTTATAAACAAGATAAATTGTCCTCAAACATGAGCTGCGTCCATGTGAAGGCATTTTCCGTACAGCTGGCTTGTTTATAAACATGAGGCCCCCTCCTACTTAGCCATCACTACATACCTAGAATTCCGGTGTCAATGTTCCATCCCAGAGTTGGTGGGCAGTCTCCATGCTGGCATCCGGCTTCCTCTGCATGTATTCCTGCCAGGGTCCAAAGTGGGCCTTCTTTGTTGCCTCCAATAGCACAAATCCTCCTGTGTAATAAAAGCCTAATATGCAAATTGACAAAATGGCAGAGTGACCAGTCGCTATGATGTGCACTGACTACCAGAGGGCAGACGCTCAATACAGGAGCTGCCTTCAGCCGACAGGCCCCAGGCCAGCCAAAGCGGGTGCCAGTGGGGGTGAGGGAGTCCTCCCCCCATCGCCCTGCCAGTTGACCCACAGAGGGAGATGACCAGCAGCGGGGGCAGAGCTGGCGAGTAGGAGGCACAAGGATAGCCAAGGTGAGTGCCAGCGGGGGTTCCCTGATTGCCCTGCTGGTCACCCTACAGATTGTCCCTGATCACCGGCCAGACCTAGGGACCCTACCTGTGCACGAATTTCGTGCATCAGGCCTCTAGCATGTACAGAAGAGAAAAGGATGTGCTTGAAATGTGTGTGGTGATTTTACAGAAAGATGTTTGAGGAACTGAAATGTGTTTTAACTACTGCCATTGTGAGTATGCTAAGTTGTCATGTCAAGTCAACATTTCCTATTGCAAAACTACAACTTTTAATAGGAATAATACTAGGGAACCAGCTTAGGTTCATGTTTTTTGCAAAGTATATGTTCATGCTTATGTTCTGAAATGGTTAATAAGGATTTTTACTTTCAGGTGCCCGGGAATATCACGTCCAGTTTTTTAGCAACCAACCAGAGAGGGCATGGGTTCATGAAAAACGGGTACGAGAGTATAAAGGTCATAAACAATATGAAGAATTACTAGCTGAGGCAACCAAACAAGCCAGCAACCACTCTGAGAAACAAAAGGTAATTGACAACATGTTAATATTATCAATCAAATATAGTTCTTAAAGGACTTCATAATTTAGTAGAACTTTTAATACTTAATTCAGATAATTACTAGAATGACTTATTTTTTTTTAATTCCTTATATTCCAATTTAATAACTTACTATGTCAGTAATTTTGTAAGTCATATGAATAGTGTTACAGTACTATTGAAAACTTTACCTGTCTGCTCAGTATAATGTTGGATTCAATTTTGAATTGAATTAATATACCTATGTAAGTCTAGTAGATGCTAGTGAAATATGGATTTTGCAAAGGCTTTTTGTTATTTTTATTATTTTAACATCTTTCCATACTTGTTCTTCATTCTTATTTAGCAAAATTTTTATGAACATAAAGTTTAAAAATATTTAGTATCTATTGTGAGAGAGGCAATGCTTATATTTAATCTTCATAAAATTTAAATGAGGTAGATACTATTATTCTTGTTTTTAGAGATGAAGAAATTGAGACAGAAAGCTTAACTGGTTCAACTCAGGTCACACAGGTGATGAACCAAGAAATATGTTTGATGTGATGGTGAATATTTTAGAATTTTGATTAAAAACTCGTGATGCTCTCTGTCTGGTTGAGATATTTAAATATGTTTTTAAATATTTTTCATTGATTTTTAGAGAGAGAGGAAAGGAGAGGGATAGAGAAATAGAAATAACAATGATAGAGAAACAACATCAGTCGACTGCCTTCTGCATTGCCCCCCCCCCCCCCCCCGCCCCTCCTCCCACTGAGGATCAACCGGGGCATGTGCCCTCACCAGGAATCGAACCACTGACTTCTTGGTTCCTGGGTTGATGCTTACCTGCTGAACCATATCGGGTGGGCTGGTTAAGATTTTTAAACTCAGCCGGGACCAGTTTGGCTCAGTGGATAGAGCGTCGGCCTGCGGACTGAAAGATCCCGGGTTCGATTCCGGTCAAGGGCATGTACCTTGGTTGCGGGCACATCTCCAGTAGGAGGTGTGCAAGAGGCAGCTGATCGATGATTCTCTCTCATTGATGTTTCTAACTCTCTATCCCTCTCTCTTCCTCTCTGTGAAAAATCAATAAAATATATTTAAAAAAAAAAAAAGATTTTTAAACACAACTAATTAATTTTAGTTTGGGTCTCTTGTGATTCAGAAATTTGTCATATTTTTACACTTTAAAAGCTAAAGTTGATCACAGAGGATTTTGATTAATTTTATCCCACTTAACATTTTACAGATTTATACATCAGTGTTTGATGTACACTATAACATTTCATGGTTTCATTAGCTAATTTCTGGCTACCTCAGTCAGAAATTAACTCCCTGAATAATTCTTAATTGCTATAGTCATTTCACATGACTATTTAGTTTTCTTATCTGTCTTAACAATCCAAAGATTTTTTTTTTTTTAAATCAACCCCAGACATAGATACCTATGAAAACTCTGATTCAGGTTTACTTTTTCTCTCATACATTTCTGCTTTACTATGTCTTATCAGCTTACATTTGTTCCTCAGTGCTCTCTCCTTTCTCCATTCTGCCCCTGTGTGCCTTATGTTACAAACTAGCAGCACAGCTTCAAATGCTGGCTCTTCAAGTGCCGATTAGCTTTGTTGTGATCTTTGTAGACCCTGCAGCTGTAGAAGTATCATTCTTTTAATACACACACACACACACACACACACACACACACACACACACACTCTAGAGGCCCGGTGCACGAAATTCGTGTGCTGGGGGAGGAGAGGGATCTTCTCAACCCAGCCTGCAACCTTTCCAATCTGGGATCCCTTGGATGTCTGACTGCCAGTTTAGACCTGACCCCTGTGGCAGGGACATTCCTCTCACAGTCTAGGACTGCTGGCTTCTTACCACTCGCCTGCCTGATTACCCCTAACTACTTCTGCCTGCCAGCCTGATCACCCCCTGACCGCTCCCCTTCTAGCCTGATTGCCCCCAACTGCCCTCCCCTGCCGGCCCCATCACCCCCAACTGTCCTCCCCTGCCAGCCAGTCTCCCCCACGTGTTCTCCCCAGGGAGGATCTGGGGTGCAGGTGAATGGGATTCCTGACTGATAGCAAGCTGACCAGCTGCCAGTTCCACAAGGAATGGGGCACCCTCCTCCCTCCTTCCAGGGCCCAGGGTGCAGGGCAAATGGGATTTCTGGTTGACAGGCTGCTGACAGCAAGCCGTCCAATCGCTGATTCTGCAAGGAATGGGACTCCCTTGTCCCTCCTGTGAGGGTCTGGTTTGAAGGCCGTCCATGTCCCTGATTGAGTGAGACCCAGAGTTATGCTGTGCCCTAGCCAGCCAGAGCCCACAGTTCCCTCCTGCTGCTGCCCGCTCCCTTAGCTCAATTGTTTAGGTCATAGCGGCACCTGGCTTTTTATATATTAGGATATAAAAGGCTAAGCTACTGTCCAACCATCCGACCAGTAGCTATGACATGCAGTGACAAACCGCTTAGATGCTCAATGCAGGAACTGCTGGGCTGTGGTGCCTTGGCAGCAGTGATTCTCAGGTTATGCACCCTGGAACCATAGAAGGTAGCCCGATTTCAGGGTATGTCTCCCGAGAACTGCCCTCTCGCAACCAGGGACCCCTTGGGGGATGTTGGAGAATGATTTTGGCCCAAACCCCACAGGCCAGACTGAGGAACCCCACCCACTCCATAGATGCCTTTCCAGTCACAGCGCTGGCTCAGTTGTGGCCAGACCATGGCACATTGGTTTCAGGGCGTGTCCAGCCCATCTCGCCTAGTCCCGCCCTGCTGGCCACTTTCTAAATAATTTCCTTTCCATGTGCACGAATCTGTGCACCAGGCCACTAGTATGTATATATATAATTAGTTTCAGAGAGTAAATGAGAGGGAATCATTAATGGCTGCCTCTTGCATGTCCCCTACAGGGGATTGAACCTGCAACCTGAGCATGTGCCTTGATTGTTCACAGATCAGTGACCTCTTAGTTCATAGGTCAGTGCTCAACCATGAACCACACTGGGGCATTACTACTAACTTTTTATGAAAAGTGATCAGCAAAGGGGGATATATAAAAGGGAATAGATATACACAACATCCAATAGTAATACCAATTTATCCAAGTTATAGGCTAAGAACACTTCATTGATTTAACTGAAGAACCTGAAGATATTTATATGTACCTAGAAAGATGACAGGCTCACATGGGAAATACCTTGTGGTTTAAATGCACTTATTAGCTTGAAATATGTCTGATAATGCCTATATCTCTCTTTAAAGATTCGGAAACCCCGACCACAGAGAGAACGTGCTCAATGGGATATTGGCATTGCCCATGCAGAGAAAGCATTGAAAATGACCCGAGAGGAAAGAATAGAACAGTATACCTTTATCTATATTGATAAACAGCCTGAGGAGGCTTTATCACAAGCAAAAAAGAATGTTGCCTCCAAAGCGGAAGTTAAAAAACCCCGGAGACCAAGATCAGTGCTGAATACTCAGCAAGAACAGACCAATACAGGTGAGGTGGCCTCCTCACCATCAAGTACTGAGACACGGAGACTTAGCCAGAGGCGGCACACGAGTGTGGAAGAGGAAGAACCACCTCCTGTGAAAATAGCCTGGAAAACAGCAGCAGCCAGGAAATCATTACCAGCTTCTATTACAATGCACAAAGGGAGCTTGGATTTGCAGAAGTGCAACATGTCTCCAGTTGTGAAAATTGAACAAGTGTTTGCTCTTCAGAATGCTACAGGAGATGGGAAATTTATCGATCAGTTTGTTTATTCAACGAAGGTACCTCCTTTTTTCATATTGTTGTGCGATTCCCCCCCCACCCCCCCACCCCGAAATGGTATTTAACAAGTAGTTTACTTTGGCATTTAAAAAAGACACACCACCAGATCATAATTTAAATATTCACTGCATTTGAAATGTACAGCCAGTTCACTCTGTTGCAGATGGGGCAAAAAAAAAAAAAGACAGGAAAAAAGACTATGATTTTCCCTCCCTCGCCCCTATCTGAACTTGATTAATCTTTAGCTGTGCTAACCAAAATTTAGCCTAGCTCCCTAAAGTTGTGGGGAGAAAGTGGGCAATTTGCCTTTTCTTTGTTTGTATAGTTAATTTTTCTTAACAGTTGAAAAGTGTACTTCTTATTAAATCATTTTATCATTTCTTTGAATTAATCTTTGTAATAATTGTACCCACTGATCAATCGGTTCAGCAAATCTCAATACTTGAGTTCAGCAAAGAAAGAATTCAGAGCTAAGAAACTCAAATTATAAGAGAAACTTCATTTGGAAAGTCACAGAGGTAGAGGTGAGTCAGGTGGGCTTCGAGGGCCAGAAAATGAGTTACAGAGGCAAAAGCAGGGCCTTAGAACTTAGCAAAAAGAAAGGTGGAGAGCAGGTGCCTGGGGAAGGAGAGCATGGAGAAAGGTGCTGGGTGCTAGATGCAAGCAATCTGTTTGGTTGCACCAGCAATTTTGTTAAGCTCATGTTGACTTGAGATAGCTAATATATTTTAGAGAAATACCAGAACTTACATTAGTTCTTTAACTGTAGTGATAGCTTGGGTATGGGGTGAAAATATCTTCTTGGAACTGAATGTCTCTGACAGCCAGCTCTAGGCCTCAATTTGGTGCACTTATACTTTAGTTTTACTACTTCAAAATTCATAAGATTTATAATATGTATTCCATAGACCTTTTCACTACCTCCCATCAGTACCAATCGTGGGCTTGTGAATTTGAGTTAGTGGCACCTCATAAGTGTGTGTGTGTGTGTGTGTGTGTGTGTGTGTGTGTGTGTGTTTTAAACATATTTTATTGATTTTTTACAGACAGGAAGGGAGAGGGTTAGAGAGGTAGAAACATCAATGAGCGAGAAACATTGATCAGCTGCCTCCTGCACACCTCCTACTGTGGATGGGCCCACAGCCCTTGACTGGAATCGAACCTGGGACCTTTCAGTCCGCAGGCTGATGCTCTATCCAGTGAGCGAAACCGGTTAGGGCATGGGTGTATATTTTTAAAGAATCCTCTATTTTCTAAAATTGTTATATGGACATTAAAATTAAATATAGATATGCTTTATTATTGATATGCTTTTCAACAGGAAAGTGTAAGATCCTCTGCTTGTTTTCTGCGTTTAGGTGCAACTGATTTCATTAAGGCTAAACTGCTTGGAAAAACTTAAGTTACAGTTCAGTTCCCACTTGATTCTGCTGATAGCTTTGAATGGCAAATAAGTACTCTGACTTTTTTGAATGCAGATTGACTCCATTAATGGAGCTAGTTTTTTATCTTTTAGATGCACAGTTCAAATTTTTGTAACCCCCTCCAAAGAGTGCTGTGTAAATGAAATAAAACTGATCTTTTATAAATGAAAACTTATAAAAAATATATACATATTTATAAATCACTCCTTTATTTCAGTGAAATAAAATACCTAAACCTGCCAGTTCCAAATTGCTTATTAGGTGCACATTTTGGTCACCATGAATGGTATGTTTCTGTATCTATAGATGTTGTCGTTTTGAAAGATTTGTTGAAAGTTTCAGCTGTGTAGTAGAGTACTTTGCCAAATTAAGATGCCTAGAGTTTTCTTACTGTGACTTGAATAAAGGGTGAGACTGTTCAGACCAGAAAATACTTTGTTTTTTACAGAAAATTATGTGATACACATTCATTTTTTTTAATGTATTGATTTTAAAAAAATATATATTTTATTGATTTTGTACAGAGAGAGAGAGAGATTAGAAATATCGATGAGAGTCATCGATCAGCTGCCTCTTGCACACCCCCTACTGGGGATATGCCCGCAACCAAGGTACATGCCCTTGACCGGAATCGAACCCGGGACCCTTCAGTCCCCAAGCCAACGCTCTATCCATTGAGCCAAACCGGTTTAGGCGATACACATTCATTTTTTAGTGATATTTATCATCTGGACTTAGATGTATAGATTTTTTTCTACATTATTATCTCATTGTACATTTTGGAATACAACCTGGTGACTTTTAATAAAATGGTTCTGATAATGACTCAGATAATTAGCTGCAATCAAGGCCATATAAAATTCAAGCAAAGTATAATCTTGAGCTATTTCTATAAACCAATGATAACTTTTTAAAAATCTTTATTGTTGAAAGTATTACATATGTCCCCAATACCTATTTTTATTTGCCTTATTTTGAAGGGAATTGGTAACAAGGCGGAAATAAGTGTCAGGGGACAAGACAGACTTATAATTTCTACACCAAACCAGAAAAATGAAAAGGCAACTCAGAATATATCATCTCCTGAAGCAACATCTGGTTCTGCAGGTGGGTATGAATGAAGAATATAGTGATTCAGTTTGAGGTCATAGTTCTGCTCTACTATAAAATGGTAGCTATATTCCTAAGAAACTTTTAGTTATCAAAATCTAATTTTATTTTTAAAAATCAAACTATAAAAGCAATTATTTTAATAGGAAAGAATGATTTAGGGGCAAGAGAGCTTATAGTAAAAGTTATTTTTCCTATAGGAATTTAAATAATAGTGTTAACAGCAAGATGGCAAGAATTCAGTTCTTCTTGAAGGAAAAATTTCAATCAAGAGACAAAGTGTTGAAAAGCAAGCAAGAATTTGAATGCAGCAAAAAGTACTTAGTGCAGTGAAACAAGGAAGGGCATAGAGGAAGCAATAAGAGCCTCGTAGAGAAAAGGGGGCCTTGAAGACAGGTTCATAGGTTTAGTCTGAGCTGCTGCTGCCCATTGCTCTCCTAGTTACAAGTTCCCATGGGGTCCCTTAGAAGTTAGGTGACACATGCCTGTGGGGGGAAAAGAAGGGGAACGGAATGGCCCAGACTATGCTCCCTGGAGAAAGAGCTTCATGGGACCTTCATTTTCAAGGGGTTAGGGGGAAGTCTTAGGGACAAAATAGAACCAGAATGTTACCAGACCTCGGGTTCAGCAAATCCCAATATTTGAATTCAGCAAAGAAAGAATTCAGAGCCAAGAAACTCAAATTATAAGAGAAACTTCATTTAGAAAGTCACAGAGGTAGAGGTGAGTCAGGTGGGCTTCGAGGGCTCAGGAAATGAGTTACAGAGGCAAAAGAAGAGCTCTTGGAACTTAGCAAAAAGAAAGGTGGAGAGCAGGTGCCAGGGGGAAGGTGCTGGCTGGTGCTGGGTTTTTATCTGCTCTCTAAAGTTGAGGATCTCGATAAACTATCAGCTTTCCAGGTGTATCCTTTCCGGGTCAGTCTTCACTGATTTTCAGCGCAAGGGCCCGGGTCATTAGTCCTTGCATCTGTTCATGATGTCAGATAGCATAGCTTAATCTGTTTTTGCTGCTTTTCTGGGCCTGCCTGGAGCTGAAACACAACTGAGGCCTAAATGTCATCTCTAGTTTAACCAAAACTCTGACTCTGTGTTCAGCTCTGCCTCCAAGAACATTTGATGCAGATTGGAACCTCATTGTCCTGAGGGTTTAATGCTTAAGGGTGTGGTCGCACAAGGGCTTGTATGGGAATCTTGTGAGGCTATCCTATGGCCCCCTAGTTCCTTCTCTAAAGAAGTCTACCCTATGACCAGCAACGTGCGGGGGGGAGGGGGAGAGCAAACTGCACAACGAGTGATATGAAGGTCAGAAGGTCTAAACCTCTTACAGCGATATGCTTGCTGGAAGAGAAGAGGTTACCCTGGGGGCAAGGTCCTACTCTACAATAATTGTTTTTCCCACTTTTGCCCATTGCTAGGTACCTGGGGCTTTCCAACCTGGTGACCTACCGTACCTGGTCTATCATCCTTGGCTCTGCTCATGCCTAACTACCTACTACATATTTCAAAATACTGTGTAAAAAAAATGAAATTATGTTGAAGGGATGAATAAATGGACTTAGATTTTACATTAATTAGCCATAATTGAAAATATTTGTTTTCTTCTTTGAATATTAAAATACTCTTTTGGCCTCAGCCCTCCATAATCAGTTTTATTGTCTTTCTTTACATTAAACTGTTTACATTATCTGAATTTAAATGTGATAGGAGGGTCTTTATTTAAACATCTAAATTCTCCTAATAAGAGAAAGTAAATTCTTCATATAATATTAGACTGCTCTTAAATATACTTTTTAATTTTATTTTAAAATAAAATTTATTTCAAAATAAAATTAATAATATTTTTAAAATATTATTTTTAAATCCTCAATCAAGGATATTTTTTCTCATTGGTTTTTAGACAGAATGTGAAAGGGAGAGAGGAAGTGGGGGAGAGAAACATCGATGAGAGAGAGTCACATGCATTGGTTGTCTTCCGCTCTCACCAGTGATTGAGCCTGCAACCGAGATACTAGCCCTTGACCAGGAATCTAATCCAAGATTCTTTAATCCTCAGGCCATTTCTCTCTCAACTAGCCAGAACTTTTTTTTTCTTCTTTTTTTTTTTTAAAATCTCATCTGAGGATATATTTCCATTAACTTTAGGTGGGAAGAAAGGAGGAGAGGTGGCGAGAGACAGAGATAAATATTAAAATGAGAGAGATGCATTGATTGGTTGCCTCCTGCAATTACCCCAACCATGTCGGGATAGAACCTACAACACAGGTATATATGTGCCCTTGACTAGGAATTGAACCTGAGACCCTTTGGTTTGCAGATCAGTGCTCAACCACTGAGCAACACTGGTTAGTCTATACTTTTATTTTTAATTGAGCTGGTTTTTTCCCTTCTCAGCTACTGAACATTTTATTTTCATGTAGTCTTTTCATTGTAAGATTTAAGTTCTGCAATGGACTTTTTCTCTTCACTTTCTTATAAATGAAAGGTAAAGTGTAATTTTATCATTGTTCTGTAAAAAGCCCAGTTTCCTCCTTACACAAGCACATATAATTAGGCTGTAAATTAATGTTGGGACCTTAATATAGGGATGAGTGTTTTTTGTTTTGTTTTAGGTTTATTTATTTATTTATTGGTTTTGTTTTTGTAATCCTCACTGGAATATATTTTTACATTAATTTTTGGAGTGAGTGGAAGGGAGGGGGAAAGAGCGAGAGAAATATCTATGTGAGAGAGACAAATCCATTGGTTGCCTCTTATACCACACCCTGACTGGGATCAATTCTGCCACTAAGGTACATGTCATTGAGTGGAATCAAACCTGAGACCCTTCAGTCCATGGATTGACACTGCCCACTGAGCCAAACCATCCAGGGCAGGATGAGTGTACTAAAGCTTTGACCTTGGCTTAAATGTGGTTACCAGCTATGGATAAGTGTATTTTGTCGTTTTAAATGACATTTTGCTTCTTATAAAAATAACTTCAGTACAGGCATACCTCGTTTTATTGTGCTTCATTTCTTTTTTTGCACTTCACATATGTTGCATTTCTTCCAAATTGAAGGCAAGACCCTCCACCAGCCAAAAGATTTCGACTCACTTTGTTGCGATGGTCTGGAACTGAACCCACAATATCTCTGAGGTATGCCTGTAGTTGAAAGTCAGAAAAAAGATTTCATTTTCCTTCAGAAACTAGTTATATCATTATCTCAACTGGTGTTAACTACCTACAGAGAATTCCTAAGCCTTTTCCTAGTTAATTTAGGGATACACAGAATGTATGGCACAGTTGCATTTCTATGGTTTGCAGAATTGTATTTGCATTTATACTAGGTTTCTAAGCTATTTTCCAAGATGGTTACCTCCTCTGTCTTAGAATGTAAACATAATACTTTTTAGTGGTTTTAAATGTAGTGGAATTTATGTGTTCTATGGGTAGCTTTCAGAATTTTAAGAAGTTGTGTTGCCTTATCTTCTATAAGCCAGTACCTCAAATATCTGTACTTGATGGAACAGTTATGTTGTCATCCTCAAAACAAGTAGAGATTTTTGTTTGTTTTAAGCAGTTCTGTTTTCATTTTCTTCTTCCCTAGTAGGTACTCAAATATTTATAAGTACACTAAAGTATGGATTTCTGGTATACTTAAGTGTCTATGAGGGCAGACTATCTGTTGTTTTGATAAACATTTTCATCAGTAAGGGTAAAGGAAGGAGCTAGCTCCTTCATTTGTGAATTCTCTGCCAGAAATGAATAACCACAGCTCAGAAGCAATATGTTATTTCAAACTACCTACTCCTTCCCCAAAACAAAGGTAGTGGGATCCTTCTTTGTTTTGGCCTTGAACTAAGGTGAGGGAATCTATTTATACATAGGCAAGAACAGTGAAATCAAATAATATACAGGTGATCTGAAGGCTTTACTGAAGCAGCTTCTACCTGATTTTATAGGAAGTCTTAGCAGATTTCTCCTTTGATAAGTGAAAGATGATTATCTAGGAATGACCATTTAGGTGGTCCAAGCACTGAAAAGATGGAGAATAGCTGAACTGAAGGTATCGTTCCTTCTCAGGGTCACAGAATGAAATCATTCTTGACATAGTAGTCTTTCAAGTTGTGATCTTCAATCTAAGTTTTATCCTTTCCAAAATGGGTGAATGTGAGTCATCTTCTTTTTACTTTTAAAGAATTTTACTGTTTAAAAATCTCAGTAGCTTCTTGTTTTACCATTTAACATGAAAGCACTTTAAAATTTGTTTCAACTAGTTTTCCATGATTAAGTATTTCTATTATAACCAGTCCCTGGAGAGTCACGTTAATAATTTGGTTTAGGTCAGCATTTTTTGTGCATTTCCTACCTTTCCCCCTTTTGTTGTTAATAATATAACATTAGCAATACTTGTTAAGCACTGTTAATCACTTTACAGATAGAATCATTTGTTAAAATGCAAAATATGTAGTACTGACTGAATTTTGAATCAATATTTCCTAATGTCAACTGAAAATAAAGTCACTGTCATTCATCTCAATCCCTTCATCTCTTCAATTATAGATACATAACTGTGTTCATCTGCTTTCAAGAAGACTAAACTATGTCTCTGCAACCTAGAAAAGCAGGGACTTTGGTCAAATCTTACATAAATGTCAAACCATCCTTAAATGTGTTTTTGTTTATTTGTTTGTTTAAATTATCTTTTAGGCTCAGAAAAGAAGCAACAGAGAAGATCAATTAGAACTCGTTCCGAATCAGAGAAATCCACTGAGGTTGTGCCAAAGAAGAAGATCAAAAAGGAGCAGGTTGGCTTCCTACATGTAGAGAGTTAAAGCATTGTATTTGTAAATGTTGTGGCTTAATATTTTCTTTGGTACCTTAAAGAAAGAAAAACTTTCCCCACCCTGGGTTTCCTTTCTGGACTATCTTATGCTTCTGTCCTAGTGAATTCCACAGCCTTGCTTTAATCCAGCCATCCCTGTGATTCTGCTTCAAGCATTTTCACAGAATACATTCAGGCTTCGGGAGATGGGAAGCCAGTGGTGCAAGACTTGAAGTCCTCACATTTATTTTGAAATTTCTGTTATAAGCAAAATGATTTCATGTTTTCATGATTTTTATTTGGAACCATCAGTGAGTTCCCTTTAAAAAATTTTTTTTAAATTTTCTTTTTAAGCTGCTAGTATATATTTTTATTTTTTAAACAAATCAAATTAAGTACAAGAATTATATTTAAGAAACAGATGATCAGCCGGGACCGGTTTGGCTCAGTGGATAGAGTGTCGGCCTGCGAACTAAAAGGTCCCGGGTTCGATTCTGGGCAAGGGCATGTACCTTGGTTGCGGGCACATCCCCACTAAGGGGTGTGCAAGAGGCAGCTGATGGATGATTCTCATCGATGTTTCTAACTCTCTATTCTATCCCTCTCTCTTCCACTCTGTGAAAAATCAATAAAATATATATTTTTTTTAAAAAAAGAAACAGATGATCATAGATGATCTGGTTTTTCTGTTGGTATCACAGATTTTTTGGAATGTTATTTTCCCAATGGAATTGCACTCATTGGGTTATCAGATAAACATGTTGCAAGAGTGTGTGTGTAGGGGGCGGGGAGGCATTTTGAAGGGGTTTAAACCAGTAATCAATGTAATGATATTCATATTAAATTACCTTTTCAAATTAATTTTTAGAAACCATAATCCCTTCAATTAAACTTACAATCAGAATTTTAATTTATTAAACTGAAAAAAAAATACCAACTTTTACAGCCCAGATAGCTGTGATTAAAGACAATTCTGAATGATATTAATTCCAATAAGCTTTATATTTTTAAAACCACTTAATATAGAAGAGTGTGAAATTTCCTATTTTCTTCATAATTTTAAACTTCTAAACTTAAAAGGTGATTTTGTGGGTGCTCTATGGTATCATCAAGCATGTAAAACAATTTTCCCAGAAAGAGGTTGCTAAAATTTTCAATAATATATTAATTTGTCATTCATTTATCATAATTAACTTTCGTACTTAAGAAATCATATTCCAAAAAATCTTTCTAAGCTCTTGCAAACCTACAGTATTCATTACCAAAAATGAAGTTGTGATTTTGCCAGCTGGTTTCCAAATTCAGTCTGTGTCCAGTCAGTTTAAAATTAATAAGCAGAACGAGGACAAATGGGACAAATTGTTAATGCCACTGTGTTATAGTTAGTAGTAGAACAATACCAGTGATTGTTTAGAAGATTTTATATTTGTATTACTAATTGTATCTTATAAAAGTGCTTCTGTTGTATGTTTTTTTTACCTGTTGTAAAAAAAATAAAAATATTTTTTAAAAGCTTAGAACAGTCCTTAAATATTTACAAAATGTGTTTCAACATGCATATTTCACCACATCTTTAAGAAACATAAAATTCAGTTCATAGCTTAAACAGGAAGTCCTCCAAACAGCATCCTTTCTTTAATTCTAATGGTTCAATCCTCAAATTACCACGTGTTTTACATATACATTGGCAGAATAACTTCTGATCTCGCTCTCCTAATGTAGGATCAAGACACTGTTCATAAGACACTCAAGAAAGAGCTTTTGCAATATCACAAACTTATTAAGTTTGTACTAGCAGCAAAAGTATTGAGCTTCCAGCTGTATGGAGCCCTGTAGCACTCTCTACAGAGAGGGTCCTGATTCCCCGCAACTTAGCTGTGAGTGCAGGCGCGGAAGGGTCTTAAAGTGGCGTGAGTTACATTAACCTGAGTATCATAGTAAGTAAAAATTTATCCTAACGTCTTTGGGGCGGGAGGGGTTTAGAGCAACATCGGGCTGGTTGCAGAAACAACCCCTCTCCTGCCTCCCAGACACTGAGGAAAGTATTCTTGTTCTCTTCATCTACCAAGGGAATGGTGGGAAAGTCTGTGCTAGAGAGCATGTGGCTGTGTGTTGTCACTTGGTATTCAGCACAGGCAGCTAGGATTTAAACCCTCCCTGACCTTGAGACAGAGACTTTTACCCACTGAGTTCGGATTTCAGATACATTAACCATTCATCATTACTTAGCTTGATGGAAGTAGTATTTTTTTCCCTCTGTTAATTAAAAGTGAGAAAAAAAAAATCCTCGTTAATGCTAATTTTTCTGTCCAAACAGGTTGAAACAGTTCCTCAGACAACAGTGAAGACTGGATTACAGAAAGGTGAGTTTTATAATGTTGATTTTCATTTCTTTGATTAAAACAAGTTTTAAACAATTATTTGTACTTCATGTATTTTTGTTTGTCTCTGTAAATCATTGTTGTTGCTCTTCAGTCAATAATTTGTGTGAAATGGAAGTATTCCCCGGTGTGTGTGTGTGTGTGTGTGTGTGTGTGTGTGTGTATGACTTTTAGAGTTGATACTATTCTGTACTTCCATGTGAAAAGTCTTATTTGTTTTATGTAAATTGGAGAACACCACTTAGACTTGTACTGTTTCCAACTTTTCTCCATAAGGTTCTGGGGTTTCACTGGTTTATATACTAGGGATGTGACGAATCCACTTTTTTTGGTATTCGACTGAATACTGAATAGTACCTATTAATGTTTGTCAAACATGGACTATGACAAATCAGACAAGACAACCTGATTAAAAAAATATCTTGCCACATTTATTTTTACAGTGCTGTAAAATATTTTTGTAAATTAAAATGATTCATAGTATATTTATGGCCATTATTAGATGACCTTAATGCAAATCTATTTGAGATATGCACAAAGTTTAAGAAACCTTAAACTTATATTTGTATTTTCTGTGTGCAATTTGACTACAGTACAAACTCCATAGCATGATTCGTGCGTTTTGGTGAGATCATTCAGACTGTATTTAATACCTGTAGTTTACTCTGGGCAAATTGCATTATTAAAAAATAAAAAACACCAGCCTCTCTGCATTCTCGGGGAGAAGTCTGCAGCGATGGTCTCCGTGGAGATCCTCAGCAGAACTGAACAGCCTCTCGGAGGGAACACTGCTTGGCGGAGCTCCAAGAAAAGACATCGCGATCGCTGCGAGATTAGGAGGCCTGATTGCGTTGTGTTTCCACCATTCCACAGGGTCGGCGGACCGGGGAGTGCAGGGCTCTGTCAGATTCAGTGACAGCTCCGTCTCCGCAGCGATTGAGGAAACTGTGGACTGAGATTCCTGTACAATTTCATCCCAGAAACTCCAGACTTGTAGTCTCCATGCAAGATTTCTTTGTCGGCGGCTCGATAAACAGTTTCTTTGTTTCCAATTTTGATTTTGCCAATCATCATTATTGGCATTTTCCTGACTGGTTTCTTCTTCAAGACTGAACAATTGCTTTAACATTCAAATGATTTTTTTTTTTTTTTTTTTGGTCTGAGCTGGATAGGTACAGCTTAAATCATGGGTCCAGCCTAAAAACCATCGTTTAACTTAACACTGATCAATTTCAACATGGACTGTTTTTGTTTTTAAATAAAGCATCATTAATGCACATCTGCAGGGTTTTGCCAAACAGCCCAAACTGTGTACATTACAATAATTAAAAGCTTTTTTTTTTTTTTTTTTTTTTTTTTAATGTTAGTGCTGTTATCATGGAGAACAGTATGGCAACTGTCTTTGGCAGTCTGTCATTTTTCTAGCATTTTCAGAAACTCATCGGAAATGGCGGTACCTGTGTTTCCCTTCGAAAGCCTCAGTACAGCACTCCTGTTCCTCTGTTAAAACTCCTTGTTAATCCAGTGATCTTTTAGGCCAAGGAAATACTTTGTGGTGGTGTTCTGGGTCCATACACCAGCAATGAAGGAGATAGATTTGTGTACTTGTGTTTTTTAATCAGCGTTAACATGGGCAGGCACCCTCATTTATAGATGTAAGGAAACATTCAGTGAAAAACTTGTAGACTGGGATGTGTAACGACGTTCCAGTAATCTGAGCAGTCTAAAGAGGCCCACATCCTCCACCACAGAACATGGCTATGTACCAAGTGCTACTCTCAGCCTGTTGCGGATCTTCATGGCCCCGGGAGACTTGTTTCTCCATGGTCTCTTCTGGACTGCACACTTCCACCATAGCTTGCTGGGCTGATCTAGATGTCTGTTTGTTGTATGGAAAATTTGGGGGAAATATCCAAAACACAAACTGTGGGTTGAAATATTAACTGTCTCCTTGGTTCCTTGGTATTCACCGTGCCTGATCTGCACATTTCATCGTGGCTGTTTCTGTATAGCCTATACTGCATTAGCCCAAGAGATTGTTGCTTTGTAACTTTTTGCACTATTGTTTTGGCTGGATTTGTATTACACACAGTTTTAAAAAAAAAAATTCCACACTATTCTCTGCCTTTTTTTTTTTCATATTTATTTCTTCCCGCACAAATTCCACATAAAGGCCTCTCATCCAGCTCTTCGTGATTTGGCTGCACTTGAACATTGATTGTGTGTTTACAGCCCTCAGCAATGTGCCTCCTACATGGCATGACGTGTAGATGTGCTGCAGCACTTGTTAATGGTCACAATAAATGACACTGCACCAAGGAGGTGTCAGATGAACAATTATGAACATCCAGAGGTGTCAGATGAACAATTATGGGGGGGAGGGGCAATACGCAACTAAATTGCAAAATTGGGGGGAAATGGCACTATCCGTGTACGAATCGAATACAAATCAGAGATTTGTCACATCCCTAATAAAAACAATTTGGAGATGTCTCTGCGACCATATTTGTAAGCTACATAGTGTGTTGGGTTTTATGTCTTCCCCCTCCAAATTGAATGGTTCTTTGGATTGCTCCAAACAAATCAGCTATCCTGTAGTTTTGGTAGAATTGGTTTTTAGGTTGGAACTTGGGCTGTGTTGACTGAGCTTTAGAACAGTAGCACTGCATTAAATGTTTTAATAGAGGGGTTGTAAACTAAATCACTGAGGAAAGTCAGAAGTTTATGAAGTTTTGACTCGTGACTTCAGTTGTTACAAAGGGAGCTCTGCTTTCTTCACACTACAGATGAGTTTGGGGAAAGAAAATATTCACAAAAAAAGTTAACAGAACAACCTTTAAGCACTATTTTAGGATTAATTTCGGTGTATTGTATTAAGGTGCCAGCGAGATTTCAGATTCCTGTAAACCTCTAAAGAAAAGGAGTCGCGCCTCAACTGATGTAGAAATGACTAGTTCAGCATACAGAGACACATCTGACTCTGATTCTAGAGGCCTGAGTGACCTGCAGGTAAATATGTTCAAGGGTCTGAGCACAGTGCCCTTTTTTGCTTTGCAAAAGCAAGTAACATATATAATTGCTTTACTCAACTGCTGTGGGATCATGGGGATTTTTTAAAATATTCACATTAAAGAAGTCATTTGGGTTATTTTGTAAAGTTGAGCATCTTAATTTTGCTAGTTTCTTACATAACAGAAGCATAGCTTATTTTTTATTTTAACTAGAGTTTCTCTCAAAACACCATACATGGTATCCAGGTGTTTTAGAAAGAAAGGAAAGAGGTCATTTCCAGGTTTATTTGAGCAACTCCTATTAGGATCTTAATAGCACCTAACATTAAGGAATTTTTTTTTTTTTTTAATATGCTATGTTTTCCATGTAGGTAGGCTTTGGAAAGCAAGTAGATAGCCCTTCAGCTACTGCAGATGCAGACATTTCTGATGTGCAGTCCGTGGACTCAAGTTTGTCAAGAAGAGGCTTTGGAACGAGTAAGAAGGAGACTGTGTGTCAGGTAGGCAAGTGACCTGTCCCTATAGCTTGAAAGAATTGCTAGCATACTCTGCCAATAATAAATAAATTTACCTCCTATTGGAAAAGGTAGTCTTTCTAAATTATGATACTGGTTTAAAGCAAGTTCTAAAAGCCATTTTGGGCTCTTCACTTTCTGAGTTGGAATATGTATTATTCATATGCAGATATAAATCTCCATTGGGAGATTGTGTTGTGAAATGGAAGTAAATGGCAAGTGACTGATTTCAAAACGATTTTCTTAAAATTAAATTAGTATTAAGTTTTTAATGTATATTTACCCTTTTAGAAAAGTACTGCTTTCCCCTGTGAAAAAAAAGTATCTAGATTCCAAAAAAGAAGTCATAAAAGATTAAGTATGACTTTTAAACTATACCATATTGGGTCTGGAAATAGTTATCTAGTTCAGTGGTTTCTCCAGTGAGGGCCAAGGACCAGCAACATCAGCATTGTCAGATACTTGTAAATGCATATTCTCTTCCCCCACTCCCACACATCTGAATCAGAAACTATAAGAGAGGTAGGGACCCTGTGATCTGTGTCTTAATAGACCCTCCAGGTGAATTCTGATGGCTGCTATTAAGTTTGAGACCCACTGCTCTTTGCTCTGTTGCAGATCTGTGAAAGCTCTGGTGACTCTCTGATTCCTTGTGAGGGAGAGTGCTACAAATACTTTCACCTGGAGTGCCTGGGGGTGACATCACTCCCCGATGGGAAGTTCATCTGCATGGAATGTAAAACCGGTGAGCTCCTTTGTATTGATAGATATGAAAAGATGGAGGAATATGCAAGTCCAGCACCTCTCATGATATCTAATTTTCTTCCTGCTGTTATGTAGCTCTTACCTTTCTCTCCCATAGGTATTTCAACAAATGAAGATCATTTGGTGTTTAGGCTTTCTAAAATCAAAAGAGTAGTAAGCAATATTATTACCAAATTTCCTCCTACCTGTGCTTTAATCATAAAAATCTATCAATTCCTCTAGATTTACTTGTATTTTATCTAAAGAGCTATACAAAGTATATAGAGTAAGTTATTTTTCAAATGGATTTAAGATTTTTATGCTCAACAAATTAAAGTCTCTTGACTTTAATAGACTGGAGTGAGTGCTGATTGAAAAGCATAACCATGGTGACAGTACTTTTAGTGGAAAGATGGAGCTACTGGAAATTGTTTTTAAAACTTCAGGGTTTTGGCCCAGCTGGTGTGTTCAGTGGTTGAACATCGACCCATGAACCTGGAGGTCACACACAGTTGGATTCCTGGTCAGGGCACATGCCCAAGTTTGCAGACTTGATCCTCAGTAGAGAGCATGCAGGAGGCAGTTGATCAGTGATTCTCTCTCAGTGATGTTTCTACCTTTCTCTCCTTCTCTGAAGTCAGTTAAAAATATTAAGAAAAATAAAATAAATAAAACATGCGGGTTTTGGATTCACTATTTATTCTCAACACCCCACCCCAATACACACTGCCACCTATCAAATAATTGATAGAGAAAGAAATAGACAAGTTTGTGTTTCTTCCCTGTGCAGCCATGATTCTATTTAAAATCATGGAAAGCTGGAGATAGAGTTGTTGAATCTGTAACAAGGCAAGTGAAGAGTCAACTGAAAATAGCATGATAGTGCATCCAGGAACTATGTAGTTTTTTGTTTTGTTTTTTGCTGTGAGGAACTATGAGCCAACTGGTTATCAAGTATTTATGATATGCTCATTTTACCTGTGACACTTTATTTCTTCCTTTCCCCCCTTTTTTGGATTTTCATAAATAATTTTATCCTTTTAAATTTGATTTTATTCTTTATTTAAATCTGTGCATGCTAAAATCATTAGAATGCTAATATTTTTCTAAACACTGACTAAATGCCAGGTGTTGTTAGCATTTTATCTTATTTCTAGAGGACCAGTGCCCATCCTGCGCCTTCTCGCAGTCTGGGACCACTCGCTCCTACTGCTGGGCTCACTGTTACTTAGCACTGATGTGGAGGTGGGAGAGTCTCCTGCCACCACCACTGCCTCACCACCTGTGAGCCAGGCTTCTGGCTGAGCAGCCCTCCCTCTGTGGGAGCACACTGACCACCAGGGGGCAGCTTCTGTGTTGAGCATCTGCCCCCTGGTGGTTAGTGCACATCATAGCGACTGGTTGTTCTGCCATAATGGTCACATAGGCTTTTATTATATAGATCTCATTTTATCCTCATAGTAAGATAGACATTGTTATTATTTTCATTTTACAGAGGGGGAAACTAAGAATTAGAGGGTTTAGTTTAGGACCTATCCGAAGTCTGAAAACAGCAATTGATGAAACTGGCAGTTAAGCCTACAAGGCAGCTTGACACCAGGATACTTGCTGTTTACCATTGCTTTTTACCATCTTTTTTTTTTTTAATATATTTTATTAAAAATTTTTTTGCCCCCCTCTCTCCCTTCCATACATACCCTCCCTCCCCAGAGTTTTATGTCCATTGGTTGTACTTATATGCATGTATACAAGTCCTTCGGTTGATCTATTATCTCCCCCAGATCTTCCTCCCCTCCCCACTGTAATTTAACAGTCTGCTTGTTGCTTTACTGTCTCTATATCTTTTGGTTCATCAGTTTATAATGTTCTTTATTATCCATAAATGAGTGAGGTCATGTGGTGTTTCTCTTTCATTGATTGGCTTATTTCACTCAGCATGATGTTCTCCAATTCCATCCAGGTTGCTGCAAATGATGAGAATTCCTTCTTTTTTATGGCAGCATAGTATTCCATTGTGTAGATGTACCATCGTTTTTGTATCCAAACATCTGCTGACGGGCACCTAGGCTGTTTCCAGATTCTGGCTATTGTAGATTGTGCTGCTATGAACATAGGGGTGCATATATCTTTCTGATTGGTGTTTCTAGTTTCTTGGGATATATTCCTAGAAGTGGGATTACTGAATCAAATGGGAGTTCCATTTTCAGTTTTTTGAGGAAACTCCACACTGTTCTCCACAGTGGTTGCACCAGTCTGCATTCCCACCAGCAGTGCACGAGGGTTCCTTTTTCTTCACAACCTCGCCAACACTTGTCGTTTGTTGATTTGTTGATGTTGGCCATTCTGACAGGTGTGAGATGGTACCGCATTGTTGTTTTGATTTGCATCTCTCGGACAATTAGTGACTTTGAGCATGTTTTCATGTTCCTTTTGGCCTTCCTTCTGTCTTCTTTTGAAAATATTCTATTTAGGTCCATTGCCCATTTCTTAATTGGATCATTCATCTTCCTTTTATTTAGTTGTATAAGCTGTCTGTAAATGTTGGAGATTAAACCTTTATCAGTGGTATTATTTGCAAATATGTTCTCCCACACCGTGGGCTTTCTTGTTGTTTCGTTGATGGTTTCTTTTGCTGTAGAAAAGCTTTTTATTTTGATGTAGACCCATTTGTTTATTTTCTCTTTAGCTTTCATTGCCCTAGGGGCAGTATCAGTGAAGAAGTTCTTTGGCATATGTCTGAGATTTTGCTGCCTGTGGATGCTTCTAGTATTTTTATGGTTTCCCGTCTGATGTTTAAGTCCTGTATCCATTTTGAGTTTATTTTTGTGTATGGTGTAAGTTGGTGATCTAGTTTCGTTCTTTTGCATGTGTCTGTCCAATTTTCCCAACACCATTTATTGAAGAAACTTTCTTGACTCCATCGTATATTCATGCCTCCTTTGTCAAATATTAATTGAGCATAGTGATTTGGGTTGATATCTGGGTTCTCATTCTATTCCATTGATCTATCTGTCTGTTCTTGTGCCAGTACCAGGCTGTTTTGAGAACAGTGTCTTTGTAATACAGCTTGAAGTCTGGTATTAGATCCCTCCTACTTTTCTTTCTCAGGATTGCTGTGGCTATTTGGGGTCTTTTATTGTTCCAAATGAACTTTTGGAGAGTTCTTTCTAGGTCAGTGAAATATGTCATTGGTATTTTAATGGGGAATGCATTGAATCTATAGATTGCTTTAGGAAGTATGGACATTTTGATGATGTTGATTCTACCAATCCATGTACATGGTATGTTCTTCCATCTCTTTACATCTTCCTCTATCTCTTTTTTCAGTGTCATGTAGTTTTCTGCATATAGGTCCTTTACTTCCTTAGTTAAATTTATTCCTAGGTATCTTAATTTTTTTGGTGCGATGGTAAATGGAATTGCTTTTTTAGCCTCTGTTTCTGTAGTTTCACTGTTGGTGTATAGAAATGCCATGGATTTCTTGGCATTAATTTTGTATCCTGCTACATTGCCAAATTCATTTATTAAGTCAGTTAGTTTTTTAATGGAGTCTTGGGTTTTTTATGTACAATATCATGTCATCTGCAAATAAGGATAACTTTACTTCTTCTTTTCCAATTTTGATGCCTTTTATTTCCTCCTCTTGTCTAATTGCAATGGCTAGTACTTCCAGTATTATCAAACAGGAGTGGCGAGAGTGGGCATCCCTGTCTTGTTCCTGTTCTTAGAGAGAATGGTTTTAGCTTTTGCCCATTGAGTATAATGTTGGCTGTGGGTTTATCATATATAGTTTTTATTATGTTGAGGTATGATCCTTGTACTCCCACCTTGTTAAGAGTTTTTATCAGGAAAGGGTGTTGGATTTTATCAAATGCTTTTTCTGCATCTATTGATATGACTATGATTTTTTATCTTTCAATTTGTTTATATGATGTATCACGTTTATTGAATTGTGGATATTGTACCATCCTTGCATTCCCGGAATAAATCCTACTTGGTCATGGTGTATGATCTTTGTGATGTTCTTCTGGAGTCGATTTGCTAGAATTTTGTTGAGGATTTTGGCATCTATGTTCATGAGGGATATTGGCCTGTAATTCTCTTTCATTGAGTTGTCTTTATCTGGTTTTGGTATTAGGGTGATGCTGGCTTCATAGAAGGAGTTTGGAAGTGTTCCTTCCTCTTGAATTTTTTGGAATAGTCTGAGGAGGATAGGTTTTAGTTCTTCCTTGAATGTTTGGTAAAACTCTCCTGTGAAGCCATCTGGCCCTGGGCTTTTGTTTGCTAGAAGATTTTTGATGACTGTTTCAATTTCTTCCCAAGTCACTGGTCTATTGAGATTTTTAGATTCTTCCTGATTGAGTTTTGGAAGTTTGTATTTTTCTAGGAATATGTCCATTTCCTCCAGGTTGTTCAGTTTGTGGAAATAGAGTTGTTCGTAGTATTTTGTAACAATCTGTTGTATTTCGGTGGGGTCTGTTGTTATTTCACCTCCTTCATTTCTGATTTTGTTTATTTGAGTCCTCTCTCTTTGTTTCTTGGTTAGCCTGGCTAGAGGTTCATCTATCTTGTTTATCCTTTCAAAGAATCGGCTCTTGGTTTTGTTGATCTTATGTATTGTTTCTTTGGTCTCTATGTCGTTTATCTGTGCTCTGATTTTTGTTATTTCCTTCCTTCTGCTTACACTGGGCTTTTCTTGTTGCTCTTTTTCTAATTCTTTGAGTTGTAGAGTTAGATCATTTGTTAGCCTTTTTTCTAGTTTTTTGCAATAGGCTTGTAAGGATATGAACTTCCCTCTCAAAACTGCTTTTGCTGTGTCCCATAGATTTTGGATTGTTGTGTTTTCATTGTCATTTGTTTCCAAGATGTTTTTAATTTCTTCCTTGATTTCTCTGGTAACCCAGTCCTTGTTTAATAGCATGCTGTTTAGTCTCCATGTGTTTGATTTCTTTGGATTATTTTTATTGTAGTTAATTTCCAGTTTTATGCCATTATGATCTG